AGGCACTGTGAAGACAAATTTTTCTCTATCATTTTCCTATAAAAGGTATAGTGAAGAAATAATCTTTTAAATCATAAGAGGCCATCCTTTTACAGAAGGTAAAGGAATGACAGACTGTAGAGAATACACTGTTTTAATAACCTTATTAACAGCTCTTAGATCTGTTACCATTCTCCATTTTCCAGTTTTCTTTTTTAACAACAAATACAGGAGAATTCCAAGGGCTGGTTGGTTCTTCAATATGCTGAGCATCTAGTTGCTCTTGTACCAGCTGTTCTAAAGCTTGCAGTTTCTCTGTTGTTAAACGTCATTGATTAACCCATAGAGGTTTGTCTGTCAAACTTTTAAAAGGTAAAGCTATTGGTGCCTTTGAAATATCAGCAGCTACTATGCCCTGTTCTTGTACAACCTGAATGTTCAGTGACTGTCCTTAATATTATCTTGTAATATTTTCCCCAGAAACATGCATTAATTTATGATATGTTTCTAAGAGTGGGAGAATGTTAATCTAAGTATTCTATTGTTGTAACAAATCATATTCCCACAAATTTATTGCTATGTTAGCCACATATGATTTTAATATTCCACTCTGTCTTTCTGACTCTATTTGACCCATCTCACACTCTGCTTTACCTGCAATAAAGTTCCAATCCCTAAAAACTGAATATTTACATAATGAAAAGGCCAATTTGGTTGCCAAGATTCTGATGAAATTATTGTTACATCTGTGCCTACCAGACCTTCAATGACAATGTCATTTTTTTGTAAATTTAATTTTAGTATTTGTTCATTTATATAAGATTGCCAAAATACTAGCTTTATCGTTTCTCCTGAATTTTTTTGTTCTCTCTTCTATAGCTATCCTATTATCCAGAGCAGTATAGTTTCTTATAATAGGTATTAGTCTTTTTAATTGCTCTAAAAAGAAGTTTCCTCTACAATGGCAGGAAATGACAGAATCTGATTTGACATAGGGGCCTGAGAGAGGCTCCTCATGGAGTTTCCTGATGCCAAAAATGATCTTGAATATTCCTCATTGGCCTACATTCTTTAGTCCAATGTCTGCTTTGCCACACTTTCCACATAATCTATAAGGGAAAGGAGTTCTGAATAGATTAGTCTTAGAAAAAAAAAAAACGTCATTTCCAGAAATGCTGTCTACAATCCCTTTTAAGGTAAACTTGTTTGCCACAATTATAACATTTGACATTTTGATTTTTCCTCAAACATCTAAAAATCACTTTTCCTATCCACATATCATCATGGTCATGAGATTCAATACTAATTGTAACTGGAATCCATTCCTTCAAAACTGCTGGCCTTGCTATTGATGACCTAATTATCCTTTTGCATAGAGTATTGGCACTTTAAAAAGATAGATATTCAGTTATTAGTTATCTAGCTTCTGCATTTGGTATTATTCTATTTCCTGTTGAAGTCAATCTTAGTATGAAATCCATAAAGGCTTCCTTTAAACCATGTATAATTCTAGTAAATGGCTCAATCTTTCCTATTTTCCAATTCTCTCCCAAACATTCAAGGCTACTGTGCAGCTTAAATCCAAGGTGTGGCTTTCATATACAGCTTGTCTTTCTATATAGCATAGTCTCCTCCAAGAATTTGTTCTTGGGAGAGTTCCTTACCTCTAGCTTTACTCTTTACTTTAATCTTAGCCTCTTCTCTGAAACAGATATTCCATGTGGACCTGGCTCTAAAACACTTTTACCAAATTCTATCCAGTCTGTAGGGATAATTCAATTACAAACAGACCACAAATTTAACATTTACTTCGCAAAAGGTGAATGCATGCCAGATGAAATGATTGCTTCCTTGAATCTCCTTAAATCTAACATTGGCGCAAGAGTCCAGTTAGCTGTAACAAAGCCTCTGCTATTTTGCAATTCCTGTAAGGTTAGTGGATATATTAAGGTTGGTTGTCTGAAAACCTTAGACTGTTCCTCTCCATTCTTGTCTTTTCGTTATTTTTCCTTCTTTCTTTTCTTTGTTTTTTCTTGATTTTTTGAGGCAGGGTTTCTCTGTAGCTTTGGAGCCCATCCTGGAACTCGCTCATGTAGACAAGGCTGGCCTTAAACTCAAAAAGATCCGCCTGCTTCTGCCTCCCAAGTGCTGGGAGCACTTGGTGTGTGACTTCTCTATATAATGCAATGCTGAAATTTATTCATTAAATTCTTCTGTCTGGATTTGAATATCTCTATGATCTGTTTTATTTGGTTTTTCTAAGACCTGTATCTTAGCACTCAGATTAACCAACATTTTTATTGATGAGACAAAAGTGATAAAGACAAAAATGTTTATAATTAACATTACATAAATCCCATCAAAATTGGGTATCCTCTCATTTAATCATTTTATTTTCAAACTGTCTAGAATATTATTATACAGCTACCAACGATGTTGATGAAGATGTGAGGCTTATGGTTGTCATGTAGAACAGTAAAAGCCTGACTGGATTTCAAGACAGCTACCTAGTTTGGCAGCAACCTGAGAAGAGGGTTCGGGGAGAGCCCACAATTCACAGTGGAGAGAGAGAGAGAGAGAGAGAGAGAGAGAGAGAGAGAGAGAGAGAGAGAGAGAGAGAGAGCCTTCTGTCTGAAAAATACACAGGGAATTGTTAGGAAAAAGCACCTGTTATGGGGGCTGCCTAAAGGGAGAACCAGTCAGTCTAGGGTCAGAAAGTCATGTGGCATTGTGGTATTTTCTGGAGTTTAGATGGCAGCTGGAGATTGGTTCAGAACAGCTACAACAGAGGGTTGGGGAGAACAAACAAAAGAAAGCCTAGCCCAGTGAGGCTGGAGCTCCACATACAGCTCTGGTGGGAACATCACATGCAGCTCTAGCCTGTGCCCATGGCAAAAGCCACAGGCAAATAGCTTTTTCATGAGTTGATGCCAAATACAGCGTGAATAATAAAATCCAGAAACAAATATTGGGGTTCAATCTAAAGATCAAAGAAGCAAAGCAGTCAAGTCACTACAAGGCTCTTACCTCCATGAAATCTTCAGACATAAAAAGAGTGAGTTACTGTCTCATCCCATCTTATATTCCTCTCTAGTGCTAGGATTAAAGGTGTGCACCACCACTGCCTGGCCTCTATGACTGACTAGTGTGGCTGCTGGGATTAAAGATCTGTGCCACCACTGCCTGGCCTGTAGGTCTGACTAGTGTGGCTGTTTTGCATTCTGTTCTTCAGGCAAGCTTTATTTATTAAAATACAAATGAAATATCACCATACTCTATTCCAAGAAGAATGCTGGAATAGAAGACTCTCTGAATTCTGAGCTATCCCTACCCATCCACTCTCAAACAAAACCTTGCCATCTAACACAGGGTACCAAAATTCTCCTATTTCAATTGTAGGTGAGAAAAGCCATGGGTCCCCTAGTTACTTTAACTCTCCAAGAGTTTCTTCAGCTTACTTATTATCTTTCAGTTCAGTGGAGATAAGCACAAATTCCCTTTGAAAAATGGAGTCTGGCATCTCTCTCCACACCTGAGCTCCCAACATGTGGACAAAACATGCTGAAGAGTAACTAAAGTTAGAGAAGCCAAAAGCAAGGATGATAAGACTTTGCCTGGAAGTTTCTGGATTATAATTCCTACACATCCAATGTGTGAAAGGAAATATATTGGCTCAAGACCCCCAAGATCAAGTTCTCAGCACAAAGGAGATTTATTTGCCCTAGAGAGACAGGGGAAGGAAAAAAGAGACAAACACAGGAGATAGGGGACAAGGAAGTAGTGGAAGGGAACAGGATAAAGGGGCAGAGACATTTGTCCTAAAGGGACAAAGACTGCCTCTGGATAGAGAGGAGACAAATGTGGCATATAGGAAAATGGCAGCTTATACAGGCACAAGGATAAACGCCATATTAGGATGAAGTGTTTAATTTTAATTGGTCATGTTATTAGGTGAGGCAAAAGGGACTTTTGATTGCTGGACGTCAATACTTTGATAACTAGACCTTGGTAGACAGCCTAAGGGAATAGACCATGGCGGCTAACTTCAGGAATGTAATCTAATGGTATTTTAGGAAGGAGAGAAAATGGGGTACAGGACAAGGCCAGCCAGAACCATGCTCACCATGCTCTGGCTGTCCAGAGTTCTTTTAGTGTGAACCGAAGGCTTCTGGAAGAACCAATACACAAGGAGTTAATCTGTTCCAATTTTTCTTCTCTAATGACATGGTTAAAATTATATCAAATACAATTGCACCCTCTTTTTACACATGCCTTCTTTATAAATATATGCCTTGAATTTTCAAGAAATTTTCTTTGTATGAAAGGAAAAACATCATTTTCTACAGAAGACCCTTTGTACCTAAAAACAAAAATATGGGGAGATAAATAATAATAAAATATTGAATCATGGCTCGACTATAAAAAAAACTCTTTAGTTGGGGTTCTCTGAGAGACCAGGGAGATGAGGTTCTATGGTCCCAGAAGACAGAAAGAAGTAATTAGCATTTAAATATTTCTACAGCAAGAGCAGGTAAGAAAGCAAAGGACAAAAAAAGAGAACTGATTTTGCTTAGAAAAAAATGGAACTGTATCCATCCTAATAATCTAAGAAAATACTGATCTCTCTTTTTTATAATTTATTTTTTAATTTATTTATTTATTAAAGATTTCTGCCTCCTCCCCGCCACTGCCTCCCATTTCCCTCCCCCTCCCCCAATCAAGTCCCCCTCCTTCATCAGCCCTAAGAGCAATCAGGGTTCCTTCCCTGACCTGTGGGGGATGTTCTATCAGGAACATACTGATCTCATACTGACAAAAAAGAAAAAAAATATCTAATTTGAAGTTCCAACTGAATACTGACCTTTGCTACAGAAGAATAAACAAGGTCACAATGGAAGGGATCCCGACATACGACAAATTTAGCTGGGTGGAGCTGCCCATCTGCTTCATCGTCTGCTGTAAATAAAAGGAGAGATCTAGGACCCAGATGGTCAAGACTCAAAAGTATCAACTCTTGCAGCATGCCTTCTCTTCAAGTTCTCTACCAGCCTGGAGCTGTTATGTGTCTCCTGATTGTGTGCTTAATTCTGGAGACTGCCCATGCTCAACATGATTGGTAAGGCACCCCTTTTTCTATACAACCTAGAGCTATGTTCCTACTTGGTGGGGACACATATTGGATTCTCACTCACTATTTGTGGCTGAGTTTCACTTTTCTAAACTCTGAGGAAACAAGTAGCACCTCAAGCCTATTCCTGATACCAAATAACTTGAAGACAATTAAACATTTCTGTTTAAAATGATTTATCTGTCTGGGTTTATAGCCTCATGGATTTCATCAAAATGGGAAGTATGGGCAGAGAGGTGAGCCTTGCCTACATTTTGGGGATACGCTATGGATAAGACATAATTCACCTTTAATTTTAAACTTGCTGTGCAGATGCAAAGGAATGCACTTTCAAGACTCCCCTGGTGACAGAGTGGATATCTTGACTAAAATAACAACAACAAAAAAAAAAAAAACTAATCAATAATCCACAAAACAATCATCTAAATTGCATGGCAGAAGCCAACATTATTCATCAACTCCAATATGCAGGGCTCTGTTGACCACAACTGAAGAAGGTTTGCTTAAAAAAAATGCACAAACTTGATTGTATTCCCCATTCCATGCCTGTTATATACTTTCTATAATTGTTACGCAAGGTTCTTTGTATGGTTGATCTATTATCTAAGTACCAGATTCCTATTATTACAGGAGAAAATGGTTCTCCTAATCTTTTGACAAGAGGAAAAACTTTAATTACAGGAAAAAATCAGAATCCATTAACAGTACACATAATCATATGTAAAAGGAGACTCTATCAGATGGTAATGAATCTATAGAGGTTTAGATGGGGATATTTACCTGCGAAGGGAGAAAATTTCTATAAGAGAGGCAGAGGACTGGGCAACATAGGAAATGAGGCCAAAAGAATTGGATTTAGTTGAGAATTGAACTTTTGTTAACTAGAACTTTATGTTTTCCCTACTTAAGGCCTAAGGGGAGCAAGCAGACAGAAAACGGTCAGGTGAATCATTTGTTATTATGAAGCTGGGTTGATCTACCTGATTGAATAATGAGACCCAGAAAGTTTTTTTTTTTTTTTTTTTTTTTTTTTTTTTTTAATTTTTATTTATTTATTTATTAAAGATTTCTGTCTCTTCCCCACCGCCGCCTCCCCTTTCCCTCCCCCTCCCCCAATCAAGTCTCCCTCCCTCATCAGCCCAAAGAGCAGTCAGGGTTCCCTGCCCTGTGGGAAGTCCAAGGGCCACCCACCTCCATCCAGGTCTAGTAAGGTGAGCATCCACGAAACTGCCTAGGCTCCTACGAAACCAATAGGTACAGTAGGATCAAAAACCCATTGCCATTGTTCTTGAGGTCTCAGTAATCCTCATTGTCCACTATGTTCAGCGAGACCGGTTTTAACCCGGGCTTTTTGAGACCCAGGCCAGTTGGCCTTGGTGAGTTCCTGATAGAACATCCCCATTGTCTCAGTGTATGGGTGCACCCCTCACGGTCCTGAGTTCCTTGCTTGTGCTCTCTCTCCTTCTGCTTCTGATTTGGACCTTGATATTTCAGTCCGGTGCTCCATTGTGGGTCTCTGTCTCCTTTCATCGCCTGATGAAGGTTAATATTCAGGAGGAAGCCTATATGATTTTCTTTGGGTTCTCCTTCTTATTTAGGTTCTCAAAGAACCTGAATTATAGGCTCAATGTCCTTTATTTATGGCTAGAAACCAAATATGAGTGAGTACATCCCATGTTCCTCTTTTTGTGAGACCCAGAAAGTTTTAAACCCTTCCGCTATTTCAACTTTTGGAAGGGGGAGAGATTTGAAGAGTTTTAGACCACTGTATAAAGAAAAGAGAAAGATAAATGCACTGAAATAGACTGTGAAATTGTAAATTTCCACCGTGGAATGATGATTAGGAACAGACAAAGAGAAAGAAGCTTGGCCAGCCCCAGCCTCCAATTCAAGACGATGTCAAGGACTGTGACTTGTTTTTTTTATTCTGGCCTCCATTCACCTCATCCTGTTAGATATGTGTGTTGGCTAGAAACATGGAATACTTTGAGAAAAGTCAGATGCAAAGGTTCCTTCCAGAGTAAAGTGTTAATCTTTACAGGTGTCTCGCAAACAGTTTGTCCTGCAGGCTCTCTCTGCCTGTCCAGAAAAGGACACCTGAGTATTGGACTTTAATGTGATTCTTTGTTTCTACATTTTCTGCTCTTACAGGCGCAATCTACTTTCACTAAACATGAAAATTTCTCCAATGAGAAATGCAAATCAATTTGAAGTGAGACTCACAATTACAAACAATGAAAATAAATGTATGGCGGTAAGTGAATAATTGAGAGTTAGCACAAAAAAGTAATATATAGTAAAGGAGTTTCAGTGAATTAATATTGTACTAACTGCCGCCCTTTGAATGTTTCTGTATACGTAGATTTGAAACTCAGAGAGATTGTGTTAGAAATATATGTGTTAGAAATTCCTCAAGTAAAGTAATAAGGTAGTGAATGAGGTTGGTGAGTGGGGAATTGTAGCTGTGGGATAAAGGTCTTCCACAATGAAACAAGAAGAACATTTAAGAGGAAAGAAAAACAATTGGAAACCTACAAATCAAGGAAGATCACAGTGAGACAAAGACAAACAGGGGTGGCAGTGAAAAGGAACACTATTGGTCTTATGTCCCTGTCTCCTCTCTCTCCTGACTCCAAATCATACAGCAATGGTGGAGAGTCAAGAAGATGAAGATCAATATACTTTGGAAGGAAGGGGAACTATAGGAGAAAAGGGACTATGCTGTGCCTCAGGGTAAGGGCCTATTTATAGGCAATAGGCACAGACATACAATGTCTCCACCTTCATTCTTGGGTCTACTTTTTTCTTCAGTTGTTCCAAACTGTTCACCTTCTTTTCACTATCCTAAACAATTCCTTAACATTCTCCTTGGTCTTTTTGAAAACGTTCAAACAAAATGAAAGTTCAAGGGCAGGGGATATGGTTCAGTGGTTAAGAGCACTTGCTGCTTTTTTGAGGACCCCAGATGGGTCTTATTTTAGGGCATCTTCTGGTATTTGTGGACACTGGACACACACACACACATGCACACATGAAACATGCTCACACACACACACACACAAACCACAAAATAGATCTATGTAAAACCTTTTTTAAAAACTAAAACAAAAAAATCATTATAAAAAAAGAAGGTAATTTTTTAATTATACCAAAAGCCATATAAGAAATACAGGGTAAAAGTACCTGGTATTTACGCCGACTAAATATAAATGCTAAAAATGCTATTTGATATGGAATTGGGCAGATATGCTGACTGTCTCTACTTAGTTTTGAGCACAGCAGATGGCTTAAGTCAAGTACAAGAAGTCATTCATTTTATATGACCATTGATTAAAAGTTTTATATCTTTTGGCTAAAAGAAAAACAAAATCTAAATAACAGTAAGACAAGGATTTTCAAGCTGGCACAATTTCTCTTTGTGCAATAAACATTTACTTTAAGTCAAAAACAGTACGCTTCTCTCAGAAAGTACAAAGTTTCATGATCTCATGCAAGTGATCCAGGTATCAGTACTTTTATCTTCCAATGACAGAAAGAAAAATCAGTGTGACAGGAACTCTGTTACAAAGCCAGAACACAAAAGACAAAGAGTTCTGAACTGCATTTGTTTGCCAATCTTTGTTATAGTCAGATCACCACACCAGAGTAGACAGCCTGTGCTTTCTGCTTTAACCCTTCTTACTTCTGAAGAGGTTTGCACCATTCTCTTTGACTCTAATTTAGAGATCTTCAGCCTGGGAGCAAGTGCAAGGGAACTAATGCCCTATATATGATGCAACAATATTCTTCAACCCTCAATTTCTAAAATAAAGGGCTTAGTAATACTACACTAAACCAGCTGATGAGTCAAACATACCCAGACACATGCACTCAAACACACACACACACATACACACACACGCGCGCATGCATGCATGCATAGTTTTACTCTTATATGGGAAATGTAATATATAATAACTTGTTTGTTTTTTTAAGGTTTTCTTCTTCTATTGATTTTTATTGAGCTCTACATTTTTCTCTGCTTCCCACCATTCCCCTCTTTTCCCTTCAACTCTTTCTCATGGTCCTCTTGCTCCCATTTTACTCAGGAGATCTTGTTTTTTCTACATCCCATGGAGATTAGGTCCATGTATGCCTCTCTTAGAGTCCTCTTTGTTGTCTAGATTCTCTGAGATTGTGAATTCTAGGCTGGTTTTCTTTGCTTTATGTCTAAAAGCCAGTTTTGAATGAGTACATATGATAACTGGATATCAACATAGAGAAGAATGAAAATAGATCCATATCTATCACTATGCAAAAACTCAAGTCCAAATGGATCAAAGACTTTAACATAAAGCCAACCACACTGAACATCATACAGAGAAAGTGGGAAGTACACCTGAATGCCTTGCCACAGGAGATCACTTCCTAAATATAACCCCGGTTGGCCCAGACACTGAGAGAAACAATAAATGGGACCTCCTGAAAATGAAAAGATTTTGTAAAGCAAAGGACACAGTCAACAAGATATAGGAAAACTTGTCAAAACACTTTTAAACTCGTCATTCCCTATGCCAGAGAAAACACCAGTTTTTTCTCATTAGACTCAATAGGGGCTAAAGTTGAATTTGACTCATAAATAACAGAGAACTTGCTAAGCATCGTGTATATCCTGACAGTTAAAAGGAACTACTTGGTAGTCCAAGCATATACTGCCCTGGGAATTGCTTATGTTGTTTCATGGTCAACCCCAGGTTGATGTCTCTGTTTTGACAATCTTTAACCCTTCCCCCATTCACTTTACTTCAGGTAAGAGCCAGTACTAAGGACAATTCATACATAACGTACCTTAGTACTCATGCAACATACACGGCTTGCATATGTGCCACAAACAACTTCTTCTGGGAAATCCAAGTCTCTGGTAAGTGGGAACATTTCCTCCCTGCTCACAAAGGTCAGAGAGTGGTGAAGGTCAGGATGTATCAGAGTATTCAAAAATAAATAAATAAAAGAATCACTGTGACAGCAGCCAGAAAAGGGGAAAGTACATGCAATACTGACGAGATAACAACTTGACAGGATATGAGAGGACAGAAAGAGCCAACACTAAGGGAAGGAAGTTCAAACAAGCTACTGTACCTTGTGTGAAGGAAATGGAATCACAGTATGTTAAAACCGGGGAGGGGTGGGGATGAAGCTATGTGGAGTTCATGAGGTAACAGATCTGCTTTTCTTTCTGTAGCAAAAACTTTCCTACAAGTGAAAGCAGAAGTTGTGCCAGCTAAGGGAATATGTCCTGATGGTGAGAAAACATACCCAGTAACCACCTACATGAAGACTATTACTCATGAAATCCTTGTAACACCATAAACTGGAAGGTCTTCCATAGATCACTGTTGTAGTAGGTGCAGCGGGCCGCTTCCCACTGCCCGGCTAGCTCTTTACAAAAATAATTACATGGAAACTGTATTCTTTTAAACACTGCTTGGCCCATTAGCTCCAGCCTCTTATTGGCTAACTCTTACATATTGATCTAACCCATTTCTAATAATCTATGTAGCACCATGAGGTGCGCTTACCGGGAAAGATTCAGCATGTCTGACCTGGTGGCTGGCTGCATCGCGTCTGCCCTGGAGAGAGCTGCATGGTGTCTGAGCTCACTTCCTCTTTCTCCCAGCATTCTGTTCTGTTTTCTCCACCCACCTAAAGGCTGGCCTATCAAATGGGCCAAGGCAGTTTCTTTATTAGCCAATGACCTTCCTCCATCAGATCACCTTCACCAAACTTCTCTGTGGGAAAAGTGTTCCTTTCTTGTATGTATCTCTGGAGAAAAAACAAACAAACAAACAAAAAAGGTGAAACCAACTCTGTTAAGACAGCTATGTAAAAATAAACTTCTGCAACTTCGCATTGAACTATCTGTATCTTTCTTCCAAAAATGACTGCTCTATCTGCCCAAATAGTCAAAGGTTTCTTTAACACTGTTATCCCAGGACACACACACACACACAAAACACACACATATACACACACATATACACACACAATGATGTAATAAGAATTCAAATCATAGTGAGTATGGAAAATACTGGGTCTCACCACTTGGCATAAAGAGAGCATGCCCAAAATCAGAATGAGCAACTCTTCCCAGAGTAACACTGAAATCTCAAAGCAGAACTAACAAAAGGTTCCAGGTTATTCCACCATCACAGTTCAACTCCATCCAGCTGTCCCTCTGACTAGCTGACCTGTACTTTTCTTCTTTTCCACTACTGGAGAGAAAAAGACTCATACCTCATGGTGCCTTTGGAAGCCCAGGCATTTTGTGAATTGTGACTTTGACTTTCCTGCAAAAAGTAAAATTTGAGGAGCTGAACAATGGCAAATGTGAGCTTGAAACAAAGGCAATCAGAAACATGCAGCACAGCTGGGGGGGGAGAATATAAATTGGCAAAACTTTGGGATAACAGTCTGCCATTACTGTCAAATACTTTATATACCTAACCTTCCAGGATGCTCACAATTGGAAGTGATGATGACAGATGGCACTTCCACACTCTCACACTCTGTTTCCTGGGTCAACATATTCTCTCTCAAGGACACAGTGCTGCTTAATAGCCATGCTTCCAAAATATATGTCACACATTCCAGGACCCTTATTCCTTTTCCCTCTTAGCTATTGCCTAGGGGAGAAAGGCACCCAATGACCTAGGGGTGAGCAGACCTGAGACAAGAACTCCATAGGAACAGGTACAGGGAGCAACTGCTGAGCAAGTGAACCAGAGACAGAGACTGCTGACGGTCCAGCCTTGAATATGGGACCTTCAAGAGAGTAGACCTCAGCCAGTACCCCTATGGGTCTGGGCAGGAGTCTAGAACCTCCCAGGAACTAGGCCTGAGCCAGGACATTTGCGGGTCTAGGCATGAATCTGGGACCTCCAAGGGAATAGACAGGAACTAGAAACCTCTACCAGTCCAAGTGTGAGTCCGGAACCTCTGAGGGAGTAAGACTGAGCCAGGTCCTATACAGGTCTGGGAACACCCAAGCCTGGGAGCCCCAAGAGACGAGACCAGAGCCAGAGTCCTTTACAGGACCAATCCCAGGTTAGAGACCTCTGCAGGAATGGACTAGACCAGGGGCATTTCAAGAAATAGGTCTGAGCCAACAACCTAGGCTAAAACAGGCTTGAGAGACTCCTTGGAGTGGAGAAAAGCCCGGGAGCACTGAGCAATCTCCAGGAACATGGAGTGACTAAGGGGTAACTAGAACCATGGCACTGACTGTACTATAATGAACAACCATCTGAGCTTTGGATTCACTGGCACCTAGAAGATTAATAAACAGAATCACAGACAGCCCCAATCATACTTATTAGAGGAAAAGATGAGTAGAAAAGGTAAGAACACATAAACACCTCAAAGAGCAACACAAAACCGGTAAAACCTAAAGACCCTACAACAGCAAGACTTGAACAACCAAATATAGATGAAGCAGGAAAAAATAATGTAAAAATAAATTCAGAAGAATATTTGAAACTCTTAAAGAGAAAATGAGAAAATCCCTCAAAGAAATGGAGGAAAAGACAAATAAAAAATTGAAAGCATCAGCAAATCCCTTAAAGAAAACAAATAAAAGCAATCAAACATATGAAAGAAACTAATCAAGACTTGGAAACTGAAATAGAGACAATAAAGAAAAAATAAGCTGTGGGAATTATAGAAGCAAAAATCATGAGAATGTGATCAGGTACCAAAAACACAGCAGGAACAGCAGAATACAAGAGATGGAAGAGAGAATCTCACTGAAGATACAATAGAGGAAATAGACTCATCAGTCAAAGAAAACATTAAATCTAACAGAAGCTTAACCTAAAATATCCAGAAAATATGGGACACCATGAAAAGACCAAACCTAAGAATAATAGGTATGGAAGAAGTAGAAGAAGTTCAACTCAAAAGCACAGAAAATATATTTAACAAAATCATAGAAGAAAAATTTCCCAACCTAAAGAAAGATATGCCTATGAAGAAGATATGAGAAGTTTTTAGTACACCAAATAGACTGGATCAAAAAAAAAGAGTCCCCATGCCACATAATAATTATAACACTAAACATACAGAGTAACGAAAGACTAGTAAGAGCTGCAAATAATAGGGAACTCACCAAGGCCAGCTGGCCTGGGTCTGAAGAAGCATGGGATAAAACCGGACTTGCTGAACGTAGCGGACAATGAGGACTGCTAAGAAATAAAGAACAATGGCACTGGGTTTTGATCCTACTGCATGTACTGGCTTTGTGGGAGCCTAGGCAGTTTGGATGCTCACCTAACTAGACCTGGAAGGAGGTGGGTGGTCCTTGGACTTCCCACAGGGCAGGGAACCCTGATTGTTCTTCGGGCTGATGAGGGAGGGGGACTTGATTGGGAGAGGGATAGGGAAATGGGAGGCGGTGGCGGGGAGGAGGCAGAAATCTTTAATAAATAAATAATTAAAAATAAAAAAAGCTGCAAATGAAAAAGGCCAGGTAACATATAAAGGTGGACCTATCAGAATTACACCAGATTTTTCATTGGAGACAATGAAAGCCAGAAGGTCATGGTCAAGTGTTATGTAGACATTAAGAGACTATGGATAAGAGGCCAGACTACTATACCTAGGAAAATTTTTAATCACCATAGAAGAATAAAACAAGATATGCCATGACAAAACCAGATTTAACCAATATCTAGCCACAAACCCAGCCCTACACAAAATGCTAGAAGGAAAACTCTAACCCAAGGAAGTTGACTATATCAACAAAAACACAGGCAATTGATGGTTTCATAGCAAGAAATCCCAAAGAAGGGGACAACGCACAAATTAACATCACTAACAATGAAAACTAAATTAGTGGGAGATAGTAATAACAGGTCATTAATATCCCTTAATGTAAATGGACTCAACTCACCTATAAAAAGGCACAGGCTAACAGTTTGGATATGAAAACAGAATCTATCCTTTTTCTGCATACAATAAACACACCTCAACCTCAAAGACAGACATCATCTCAGAATAAAGGGTTGGGAAAAATATACCAATCAAATGAACCTAAGAAACAAGCAGGTGTAGCTATCCTAATCTCTAACAAAATAGACTTCAAGCTAAAATCACTCAAAAGAGACAAAGAAGGTCATTTCATATTAGTCACAGGAAAAATCATTAAGAGGAAATTCAGTACTGAACATCCATGCCCCAGACACAAGGGCACTTGTCACAGAAACACTTCTAAAGCTTAAATCATACATTAAACCCCACATGCTAATAGTGGGAGACTTCAACACTCCACTCTCACCAATGAACAGGTCAGTCAGACAAAAAATGAACAGAGAAATAAGAGAACTAACAGATGTTATGACTGAAATGGATTTAACAGACATCTATAGAATAATCTATCCAAACGGAAAATATACCTTCTTCTCACCACCTCATGGAACCTTCTCAAAAATTGACCACATACTTGGTAACAAAAAAAAACCTCAACAAATACAAAAAATGGAACAACCCAATGTACCTTATCAGATCACCATGGTTTAAAACTACAAGTAAACAACAATACTAATTCCAGAAAACCCACAAACACATGGAAATTAAACAATGTTCACCTGAATCATCAATGAATCAAGGAAGAAATAAAGGGAGAAATTAAAGACTTCCTAAAACTCAATGAAAGTGACCTCACAATATGCCCAAATTTATGGAACACAATGAAAGCAGTGTTGAGAGGAAAGTACATAGAACTAAATGCATAAAGAAGCTGGAAAAATTCCACACTAGTGAAATAACAGAACATTTGAAAATTTTAGAACAAAAAGAAGCAAACTCACCCAAGAGAACTAGACAGCAGAAAATAATCAAAGTGAAAGTTGAAATAACAAAATAAAAACAAAGAAAACAATACAAAGAATCAATGAGACAAAAAGTTGAATCTTTGAGTAAATCAACAAAATAGACAAACCTTTATTCAAACTAACCAAAAGGCAGAGAGAGAATATCTGAATTAATAAACTGAGAAATGAAAATGAGGACATAACAACAGATGTGGAGGAAATACAGAGAATCATCAGGTCATATTTTGAAAACCTGTACTCCACAAAATTGGAAAACTTAAAGGAAATGGACAACTTTCTGAATAAATATCACTTACCAAAATTAAATCAAAAACAGATAAGCAAATTAAACAGACCTATAACTGATGAAGAAATAGAAACAGTCATTAAAAGTCTCCCAACCAAAAAAATCCCAGGACCAGATGGTTTCAGCACAGAATTCTACAAGACATTGAAAGAACTAATACCAATGCTTCCCAAATTATTCCACACAATAGAAGCAGA